GGGCACAAAATGAGTACCAATCAAATGCAGAAAATAAGGGTCTAATTTGGTTATATAATACAAACAAAATTTCATATCAAATTAAAAAATAAATCGAAAAAATATTATTCATATTTAAATTATTAAATGGTTGAAAAAAAAAAACCCAATATTTTATATGAATCGGAAGGAATCAAATTGCCCAGATTTCTGTTCCTTTTTTCTCGGTTCAGGAATTGACCAATTTATTATCAACATTTTTCCGGGAAACCTTGACAAATCAACAACCTTAGCAATGACAACTAGCAACAGTAACAACAACGACCCCACCACCAGCGATAGCACCACCACGACCACCACCACCACCAGCAGCCTCAGCAGCAGCACCACCACCACCACTACCACCACGACGACCGCCACCACCAAAACCGCAGGGCTGGGGGGTTAATTGGGGCTGGCTGGGGCTGGGGCTGGCGAGGGCAGACTTTGCGCAGGGATTGAAACAAAGCCTGGCCGATGCCGATGGCCCGCTGCTAGTTTGCGGTTGCCGAGTGCCGGTTGCCGCCGGGTGCTATATCTATATCTGTTTCTATATCTTTATATTTATCTATATATATCTATATTTATTTTTTATCTATTAATTCATATCTATATCTATTTATTTATCTATTTATTTATCTATTTATTTATTTATTTATTTATTTGCAAATTTATTTATTAAATTACTTAAAACATCGAAATACATAATATTATATATAATTATATATTTATTAAAAAAAATAATTTTTCCAAATTATATAAAATATCACATTTATAATATAAAATTATTAAATAAAATCCTAAAATTATCTCTTTCAAATTCATTTGTTTTTATCAAAAATTCAATATCCTGATTTCCTAATATTTCTAATAAAAATAAATTTTATATAAGAAAATAACCATATAAATTTCAATTTTATATTTTTTATTTAAATAATTATATTATATTATTATTTTTTTAATTAACAAAAATTTTTTATATATTAAATATTTTTAATATAATATAAAATTCCTTAAATTTATTAATTAAAATACTTTTTAAATATTTAAGGAATATATTTTTTAATATATAATTCGTATATTTATTTATTCAAAATATTAATTTATAGAAATATTTTAATATTAAAATATTTCAAATATATATATATATATTTAATATATAATAATAATATAATTTATATATATATATAATTATTTAATATTAAAATTTTCAAATACTATTTTTCCAGATCTTTATTACCTATCCATATAAATATAACTAATTTTTCATTTAATTTTTCAAATATATATATTTTTATTTATTTCCTTCATTAAATTCGAATAATATTTATTATACTAGGGTCGGCCCGCTGTTTCCAACAACGGGGAATTACGATAGGAATAAAAATCAATAGATTTATTATTTTTTTTTAAAATAAGAATAATTGGAAATGATATTATGAAATTAAATTAATAAATTATTTATATCCTGCAGGAATAATTAATCGTTATAAATTCAAATTTTCAAAATTTCGGCGGGTTAATATAATAAATTATTTATCAATAAGAATATAGCCCAAGAAATATATCAAAAAATCAATTAAAATATTCTATAATATTATATATTAAATTCTGTATAATTATATTAATTTATAAATCGAATTTTCCGAAATTATAACGAATCAGAACCATTAAAAATAAAATCATATATTCCAAATTAAATTTCAAATTCAAAAAAAAATAGGAAATCAGACCGGATCTTGCTAATAGCCATAACCATAAGAAAGAAAACAAATAATACATTATAATTAGTTGTAATAAAACAATACAATCCATCATAGAATAAATTATTTAATTCTAAATCGAATCAACAAATTCAGGAAAAAACTAATCCCAGCCTTGCTAATAAAGAAAAAAACAGAAATATAGGTAGTTAAGAATACCAATCGGAAAC